GTATATACATATATACATATAGTAAATAGAGTATATAATTAGTATATAGAAAACTCATCCATTAGACTATACTATATAACAATTCCTACAATAGCTTGTTTATATAGCATTCATACTATCTCATAGATAGATTGACTTTGATCCAGTAACTCCAATTTCATTTAATTTAGGATATTAACTTTCACACCAAAGTATCGAGGCATCTTTATCGTAACAAAGTGAGAAGCTCTCCTCAGTCTCCTCATTTCCTCCTTCTATTCCAGTTGTTCGTCTGTAAACAGCGAATCTGGATAGTAATGCTCATCATATACCAATGTAAGCTTAGATATAAGATATTTCTTATAGGTATGAGGTATGAGTTCCGATGCAAATCTATGTTTATTTCTTTTTCAGCACAGCTTCAAATAGCACAGAAACAACATCAAATCTAAGGGAACGAAATGTACTATATAATGAATACGTTGATTATGAAGATTTCAAATTTTGAATATATCTCCAAATTGAAAACAAAAATGGGTATTTCAAGCAGTACATTAAGAAGTCTTTGAGAACGCTTTTCATGGAGATTAAACAATTAGAATATAAATTATTCAATTAATAATTTTTAACTCTGATATGAATATCATAATATAATAAATGAGATGAGCAGCATATAAATCACTTTTGTAAGTTCTATAAGCAAAAATTTAGATAAAACATGGAATGGGAAAACAATCTGTTAATAACTTGAAATGCTGTGAAAAATCGTTTAGTAGAATAATAAATGTTAGCCCATTTATGTTGATATACATCTGTAAGTATATATACATACATATATCGTAAACACACAAATTTAGAGAGACAAGAAAAATGCAATATTCAGCAAAATTTTGGTTAATTTAATTACTTTGCACTGAAATAAATGTACGAAAAATATTTCATTGCATTTCATAATAATTTGATTAATTTGAAACTGCTGTGAAACATGAAGCAGATGCATAATATATTCAAATATATATATGAATATACACATGTGTATATATTTATATGTCGTCTGTCATAGTTAGAAATGTAAACTTTTAATTCATTTTTGAAGAAAAAGAACTCAAAGTCAAGATGCATTTCCTTATCTGTTGCATCTGGCAAATGATATGATGGGAAATGATTTGACATGGGCAAGGGCCAGAGACTCTATCTAGCCAGTCCAAGCCTTGACGATGTTCCAATTTTAGAAGACTAGACATAGTCATGGATATCTTATTTAATCTTGAGCTTTGAGATAACTACAATGTTTACGTTAGTTTATTAGCTTTGGGCTCTAGAGAGGCGGGCGGCTTTTTATGATATGACTATGTCAATATGTTAGCTGAATAATTAAGCTCAGAGAGAGAGAGAGAGAGTTATGAGCCCAATAAAATTTCTGTAAGAAATTTCCAGTGAAAAAAACCAAAAAAATAAAAAAAGACTTCCTATAAAAAACTCAATGAATAAATTGTTCATAATTTTGCATCATATAGTATAAGATCTAAAGGGTTCATAAAATAGAAGATAGCTTAGCTTTATGAACCCATTTTATATACATATACCAAATGAATCAATTTCGCTAGCTTGATTTTCTTTGTCTTTCGATTTCAATCAAAAAAAATCTATGTAATATTTTTGAAATGATAGGAAAGTGTAGGATACTTTTAAAGATTTATTTTAAGCTTTAAAGAGCTAAGCCAAATATTTAAGAGTCAGGCCTTTACACGCGCAGCAAGCAGACACATTTGCCAACATTCTAATTAGAATTCTAACTAGAATTGAACAAAATAAAACTATACTTAAATACATATACACATGTAAATATATAAACGCAAAGATTAAAGTTTATAAGAAATATTTTTTTTTTACCAACTGATAATACAAAATACGGAAAAAACAGTTATGATTTTAATGGCTCAATTAGATTTCTCGTTTAATAGGCAATAACTGTGTACTAGCATATAATCTCAATTTGAGCTAGCGATTGATTGAGATTATCAAAGCCCAAGCAAATTGAGATATTTGAGAAATATGACAACGGCAAAGCAATATTTTTTGCCAACTGATAATACTAAATATGATTTCCGTTGAAAGGTAAGCAAGAAGTGTCTCTATCTGGCAACGCCATTGAAACAAAAGTCCTTAAACGCGCAGCGCACAGAAAAGGCTGTCGTAATTCTAATTAGAAATCCAACTAGAATTAAGCAATAAACTAAATAAACGTAAGCCCACATTTGTTTATAAATAGTACAAATTCACACAGATTGTAATTTTTGTAATATACCGCAATGCCATAAGCTAAATTTGTACTAACGTTTATGATTTCCTTTGCAAGTCAGGCTAAAAACAGTGAAAACAGTTGAGATTCTAATTGGAACTCCAACTAGAATTGAGCATTCGGCAATATTTATATGGTATACGAAGTTAAATCCCACACAGATTTTTTTAGCATTTAAGATATTTTAGTTTTCTTTTCTTTTTTATCACCAAATAGATAAGCTTGCTGCATTCAAGACAATTTTAGAGCGCGAATTACGCATCTGCCGTATGAATGAGCCAAGCTTAATCTGAAGCTGCAGATGGATCGTGCTTTCGTATGCATAAGTCTGTATACACATACATCTATGTGGCTAGTGATATCACAGAGATTATCATTATTTTTATTTATGTGCTCACTTTTTTTTTTTGTGGCTTTTCATTTAACATGTTTGTTGTTTTTATTTTTTATTTTTTTATTTATTTATTTTTTGTCTGATAAGAATGGCCACGCATCAGATTAAGCTGGCGATAGCTGGCGCTGATGTAATGCGATATGCCCGTCGTATATGAATCATCCGACGGCTTTTTGATTAGCAATATTTTGAGCTGGCTTTGGGCTGAGAGCCATGGTAGATATGTGCATGTGTATATGTATATGTATGTGTACTTCATAATATTGAAATTGAATTTGAATTTAATAAATTTTCTTCACTTACTTTTGTATAGAAATTTGGAATAATCACAATCCATGGTTGTTGTTGTTGCTGTTGATGTTGCTGATGTTGCTGTTGCTGCGGCTGCTGCTGCTGCTTGTTGTTGTTTGTTGGTTTTGTTTGTTGAATGTCTAATGCTGTTGTTGCAGTTGTTGTTGTTGCGCTGACATGAAGCTGCCGTTAGAGTTGCTGAATTGATGCGACGTTGTTGCTGTTGCTGTTGCTGCTGTTGCTTTGCTTGGATTTGATTGATTCACAACTGCTGCATTCGCATTGCTTTTCGCTTTTGCGCCATTCACTTGACAACAATTACGAGCAACCAAAAAAAAAAAACGTAAAAAAAAGTAATACACACACACACGCAGAGAGAGAAAGAGAAATAAATAAATAAATAAATATGAAATGCCGCTAGGAGGAGGCGGGTTGGGCGGGTGGTCGGTCGGTCCGCTTGGTTCTTAGCTCGTTGAGGGCCGGGTTTCGAAAATTGCAGCGTTGACACGAAAATTTGAAGATTGCCGCCGGCGGCGGTGTAAGAAAAACTGAAATTCGAATTTCGAGTTCGAGTTCGAAGCTCGAGCAACCTTCTGCTGCTGCTGCTGCTGCTCTGCCGCTGCCTGTGTGTAGGTTTTGTTGTTTATTTTGTTTCTTCTTTTTATTGACACTTGATGGGCGCTGTTGTTGCTGCTGCCATGTGTTTCTTGTTGTTGTTGTTGTTGTTGTTGTTGTTGCTACGGTTGTTGCTGTTGCTTTTGCCGTTGTCGAATTTTGTTATTGTTGCAATTTAATGCCACTTTACAAGCATGTATAACATTGTGAGTTTTTGGTGGCTGTCGCTCTTCTTCTTCTTCTTCTCGTTGTTGTTGTTGTAGGTTTTCGCTTTTGTTTTGCTTTCATTTACACAGTGAGCTAGCTGCTGCAGGTGTTGGTATGTAAAGCTCACACTCACACCGACGCACACACATATACACACTAATACACGGACGAGCACATGCATATGCTTGTGACAGTTGCATATTCTTTGGTTGACTGTCGCCGCCGCAGCATAAATTCTAGTTGTACTGCTGCTGCTGCTGCCTTCTTCTTCTTCTTCTTCTTCTTTAATTTGCCGTAAGCATTTCTAGCTTTTCTCTTTTTTTATCTCCACTGTAGTTGGGAGTCGCTGTTGCTGTTGCTGTCGCTGCCGTCGCCTGCGTTGCTGTTGTTGTTGTTGTTGTTGTTCTTGTTGCGCTCTTCCGTCTAACTGTTTCTTTATTTGGGCGCGCCTTTTGCTTGACTTTAACCAAATTGAAATTTGAACAATATGTGTTAAGCTTTGATTATTATGATTGTTCTTGTTGCTGTTGTTGTTGTATATTTTTGTTGTTGTTGTTGTTGTTGTACTTCTTGGTGTGACGCGTTTTATACGGCACGAGAAAAAGGCGCGCAATCTACGGACGCTGCTGCTGCTGCGGCTGCGGCTGCTGCTGGGCGTATTGTCGCCGTTGTTGTTTGGTGCAACAGTTGCGCCGCCTTTAGCCACACACAACAGTCACTGGGCGCAACACACACCCACGCGCACAACAACAACGCAAATTTATGCACATCAAAAAAACTGTTGTACAACAAATTGGTTTTTGGTCACACAACAACCAAACAAAAAAAAAAAAAAAAAGCAACAAAAATTTGTGGTATAAGAACTTGTCATAGAGCACCAGAAAAAAACACACGCACGCAGCACACAGTTACACGTACATACCTAAGTAGGTGTGTGTGTGTATGTGTAATTATAATTCGGTTATTCGCGCTGCTGCTGCCGTCGCCGTCGCCGTTGCGAATTTAATTTAATTTCTTTTGCTATACTTTATTGTAGTTCTATTGCTATTGTGTGTCCGTGTGGCCGTCTATATATGTATGTGTGTGTATGTTTTGCCTAACGGCAGTTGGCGGCACGCGCTGACCAATATTTAAGTTTATTTTTTTTTTTTTTTTTGGTATTTTTGATTTTTGATTTTTTGTTTTCTATGTATCTTAACAGATGATTCTGATTGGGATGCGGTTTCGTATGGGCTGCCCTTTCGGCATTTTTCTTAAACGTTTTTCTTACACGCGCCGCTCAATGCTCCGGGCCGGAGAGTCAAAGACGAAATGTGCTTTTAATGTAGACACAAACACAGAGACACGCGGTCACACACATAGATGATATATTTCTATATATATATATGTATATTTATTTATATACATACATACATATATATATATACACGCATGTACGTTAAAAGAAATTTTCTATAGGTATTGTCTAAGCGTATTTGGCTATTTGATTAAAATTTGTTAACTACGTGCTGCGCTTGCTTTCGCATACAAAATGTGACGCCAACACAACCGACGGTATAAACAAAACTACCAATACGAAATTAGCTCAAAATGTATTTCAGGCAAAAATTAAAACAGCAAAAGCGCTCATTGCGCGCGAGTGAGCCGTGCAGCAAAACTGCCAACCTACCCATACACGCATACAAGCACAGGCATATATGTACGAGCACAAGCACAGTCACACACACACACGTACACATATAGAGAGACAAACACAGAGCTAGCATACGAACCATACCCGAAGACCGAGCCCCAACAGTTTGTTGGATACGCGCGCGAAACACACACACACACACACAGACACTGTATATGTATATATAGCAAATTTACTCACCGAGTTGGTCCGCCGCCACCAGCTGAATGGAGTGCCGAGAGCGAAATACGAGTGTGAGCGAGGGAGCGCGAGACTGTGAGTTAGAGCGAGAGACGGCATTCGAGAGAATTCTGCCGCTGTCTGTACAGTATGGGAGCGAGCGACTGGAGTGCGCACAGCGCATGAATCAGCTTCCGCTGTTTTTGTTCCCTGTTGTTGTTGTCGTTCTTCTTGTTCTGGTTAGCTTGCGAACTGAGTTTCGCTCAAACACGTGTTGTTGCTGGCTCGCCTATGGTTGAGTGCTTTCAGTGAGGCGGTCGTATAAGAGACACCACAGAGCGCACTTGCTGTGGCCCGATGCTCAAAACTATACATGTGTGTTAGTGTGTGCATAAGCAGGTTTATGCGCTGAACGAATTTGCGACAAGTTCTAGTGCTGTGTAGTTTTTATGTTGACTGATTCCTAATTTAATATGAAATTAATAAAAATTAAAATATTGATCAATTCTTTAGTATATATTTACATATCGTGTATGTAATAAAAAAATCTTTATAACTACAGCAATATAACTATTTTGTAAGCAAACGTAAAATATTGATACATTTTTATTGGCAAATTGTATATAGAATTAATGTGAATTAAAATATGAATAAATCAATAATATATAATAATATTATATACAAAAATATT